TGAGCTCACCTTGGCTGAGAGCCATTGCCACAGCCCCCTCGGTTTGGAGCTGATTAAAGTCCCCCCACATTCAGAAGAGGCCCCCAAAGGCGCGGGCTGCAAGTAGGAGATCCTTAAAGGGCCTGGTTGGTGAGGTTCAGCTGGCCAGCGAAACCGTAGAAGCCGATGCACAACATCTGCCTCACCGTGCCAGCAATAGTGAGGTCAACCAAGCCAGCAGCAAAACGGCTTTTCGCAGCAGGCGCATTCAGATGCACCTGTCGGATCGGCAGCCTGCTAGCAAGGGCCACACGATGAAGCTGACGCGCCGGCTCAAGCTCTCCCAGCAGGACCCTGTACCCCGAGGCACGCCAGGACCGAAGAAAGCCCGGAGCGGTCAGCGCATTCACATCCACTTCTTGCATGGAGACGAGGTCCGCCGCCAAAGTCCTGAAACAAGCCTCGGCAACCGGGATCTTGTAGACCCCAGCCTTATCCAGGTTAGCACTCAAAAGTCGGATGAAGGCTGCGACGGTGGATATGCTCCCGGAGCCTGCTCAGCCTCAGCCTGGGTCGGGAGCTGTCGGCCGATGATCTTGGCAGCCCTCGCAGCGGCCGAGAGAATGGTCTCCCGGTCCTTCTGTTGCAGGTCAGCACTGTGAACCCACGAGCGGAGTTTCTCAAGTTGCTGCATCCTCCTGGCACCACTAGGTACACTACAGCACGTGGCCACACAGCTCTCCGCCTTATGTGCCTTGGCGTCCTTGGCAAAGTTGGAATACCAGCCACACTTGTTGCACACCCAGGCACTTCGCAGCACAGCATGAGGTTCCACAGCACGCTTGGTTTTGCTCGAGGTCGACTTTTTCTTAGTGTAACGGCGAAGCAAAGGCCACGGGAACCACGTCATTCCTGGAAACCGCGGGGATGCATGTTCACCGAGGGCACGCTTGTGGAGCGCCTTCTTCCGGTTGATCTCGGTCCAGCGCGCTGCCTCCTGCGAATTGTGCCCACGGGCCGCTCGGGACCACTCTCGAAACGGAATGTCTCGGTGGCAACTCTCGTAGTGATCCTTCTTGACCTTGTGGAAGGTGTGATACGGAATCTCTCGACGCTGGGCCCAGAGGAGCCCCTGTGGGCAAGAAGGGCAGATCCAGCCATAGTTGTTGGTCTTCCGGCCTGCCCTTGTGACTTTCACCAGCTTGGGTCGCTGATGATAACCGGGTCGCCCTGCACCATCATGAGCTCGTTGGTGGTGTGCCTCGAAGATGCGCGCATACTGAGCTTGGTCCTTGGCCTTTTTCAGAAAGGGGCACATGGCGCACCTAAAGATGCCATCAGCAGGCATGTGGTAGGGTCCTCACAGTGCTCCAAATCCTGACACAGCACGTCGTCCTCCCGCCGGGTCTTCTTCGTCGATTTGGTCTGGCTCAGAGGGCCACTGAGCACTCCCTGGTACTTGGGACAGGTGGCACGCGAGGAAGCAGCAGCCACCTTAGAGCGCGTCGCACAGGAGGAGGCAGGGACCTTGGGCGCCTTCCGCGACGAGACCACAGACCCAGCCTGGCGCTTGAAAGAAGTGGCACAAGAAGACAGCGAGGCCACGGACTTCGCACCATCTCCGCCAGCTCGAAGATTGCCCAGAGGTCCCGCCTCGATCTTGTAGTACTCCTCGGGGTACTTCTTATCGCTCTCCTGCAGGGGCATGGCCAAGTCCACGTGCTTGTCGGCATACCAGAGCACAATCAGGGATTTCTCCTTGGTGTTCCAAGCCGCAGGCGCAAAGTCCAGACCCTGCGGGATGACCACCACTCGAAAATGCGTGATGTGAGCCAGCGCTCCGATCTCCAATTCTCCAAGGTACGTGCTGTCGCGCTCGATCCACTCCATGTACTTTTCGAAGGTGTCACAAGAGTCACCCCCGTTCGGGTCCAATTTGTCCCAGTTGCGCTGGTACCGATCATGTTTGTGCATGTGCGTCACCATTTCTGCCCGAAGCACTCTCGGATGCTTGTCAACCTGTTTCCACAACTTAAGCGCCTTACAGAAAGCATGAAGCACACAGTTGCCATCGCGCTCGCATGCCACTTTTCGAAGGTTGCTGGGGAAAACCCTGAGCTCCTGCTTGAGGTTCTTGGCAGTAGACTCCTCTTTGCCCGCCTCGTCGATCATCGGCTTCGTGGGGATCGTCACCGTCTCGGTCTTCAAATTCGGGGCAGCTTGGACTGGCACGACCGGGACCGCATGGGTGTAGATCGGCTTCTGCTTCGTAGGAGCCGCCCTCGGGGGCGCAATAGTGGCCCACAGCGTTATCTTGGCCCCGAGGTATTCCATGTCGATGGGAACGGCATCGCGGTCGCCGTTGCCGTCCTTGAGCTTGCCTCGGAACCTCACCGAGTTCGCGCCTTTGCGCCATCGGTGGCTGAGGACCACCGGGTCCTCGAAGGTGTGCTGCAGCAGGGCGTGCACGGCTTGGTGATCGAGCTCCTTCGGGATGTCCTCAAGCTGCCAAATGCGGCAAGCCGCCTCGTTGGCTCCCAAGGGTTTGCGCCAAGCCAGCCGCGTGCCGCTAACCGCGACCCCCAGGTCCGAGGCGAGGCGACGGGCTCGGTCCAAGTAGTCCGAGCTCTTCTCCTGCGGCCCTTTGTCCAGCCACTGCATCTCAAAGGAGGGAGAGGTATCCCTCGGCATGGAAATGAAAACTCCCCCGTGCCCCGAGGCAGCCATGAGCTGGGCACAGTCCTTCTTCGGAATCCTCGCGAGGCCATGGTACTGCTCGGTGTCGGTGTGTGGGGAGCGCTCCTTGACCCAACGATAACAAGTAAGTGCTTGCACATGTCGCTGCGCAATCCAAGTTAGAGCCGCCTTGGCCGGTCCTGCCTCGAAAGCCTGCCAGGTGGTCTTATCACAGAAGTGTTTGACTGCCCTGATGAAGATCACCTCGTTCTCCGTCTTGGTCACCTTGACAATCGCGGAGTTGATACCCTTGGGCTGAACTCCTCCCGTTCTGCCTTGGCTAAGGCAGTTGCGCACCACTCCTTGGCGGAAGACTAATCTATCGCCCACTCGTCCCGGGACCTTTTGGGAGCCTTCGTCAGTGCCGAGAAAGATCGTCAGCACTTGATAGGCCTTGGTCGTACCTCTAAGCATGCTATGCACGGCATCGATTTCAGTCTTACTGCCGAGGACAACCCCGGTGATGACCTCATCGGCTTTGGTGTCCTCGACTGTTTTCCCAAAGTTGGAGTACGAGAGCAGAGGTGCACTCCAATCTTGGGGCCTCAATTGAAACTCTCCCTGCTGACCCTTCTTAGCAACGGTGGTCCACCCGGATGCATCATCATCCTGATGACCGCCTCGGCCCTTGCCACGCTTGGCCGGGCGGCTCGAGTCACCACCACGGGTCGCCGCCTCCTGCTGTGCTCCAGGAGCCGGTGCGCTAGGCTGACCGCCAGCAGAGTTTTTGCCTTTGCTCGCCGCCTTCGAGTGTTCGTGACCCCTGTGGCGGGTGTTAGGCTTTCTGCAACAGGTTGCTGTTTGCGCTTGCGGCCCTTGCATTTGGGCCTTTCCGGCTGCTCCGGCTGAAGATTCACTGTCCTTGGCGGTACAGCGGGGGCTGGGATGGCCTTCGAAACAATCGCCGTCCAATCTATGGCCGCCAAGGCTGCTGCAAGACTTTGCTGGATCATCGTCTGGATCTCGCTGCGGGTGCTCGCATCCATCGGTCCCGGGTGCTGCGCCTCTCCAACTCGAACCCCGGTCCACGGACAATGGTCTGCCTGAAGCTGTGGCTCCGGGCCTGGGTTACTTGCCTCCCCAATCCTGCTCCCACAGTACTGGCAGTGGTCCACAGGGTGGCGGCACCGAGTAGCGCCGCTGCACCACAATGCCACGCGCACCATCCAGGAAGATCGCTGTCGCCAGGATCCGCAATCAAACTTCTGCTCGCAGGGGATGTCCGGGATCGCGCTGTAGACACCGAAGGTCTGGCCACCACCGGCGGCTCCAGGGTTCTCGCTGTCGGGGTTCCGAAAGTGCTCGTTGGCCAGCGGCCGCTGGCCAACTGCAGCACCTGCATACCTGACAGGGTCCTTGGATTCCGATGGTACCGATCCCACGCCTCCTGAGGAGACGTGTCCGGTGGAACCACCACCGTCTGACGGCTGAAGGTCCCGATGCAAGGGAATTGGTATCCTCCCCGCCCGGTGCGGCAACGCTCGCAATTGAGGTCCACGCACGGGACCACTCGCGCCGGTGGGACTCCTGCAGGCAAGGGGTCCAACAAATCAAATGGGGGAAATGGCAACCACATTTCGTTTCAGCTCTGCATGCAATAAAGACCGCTCACCCAGTGCCTACCAAACACAAAGCAGTTCTATCCTTTTGAACAAAACCTGTGGATTGGAGGGCCAACACTAGAAAAAACAAGAAATAGTGGTTTGAGCCACGGGCTGGAGACGGCACGTTTGACTGCATGAACACTGGAACGTTTGCTGGAAAGCCGATGGTTGGGTGCACAATCGACCCGACAGTGAACGTGCAAAGACGTACGCTCGACCTTGCATGGAAACGGAACAACATGTCTACAGTATGTGCACTCATGTTTATGTGTGCAAGTGTTTTTACGCATGTAAGTATATACAGTCTTTACATGATACATATCCTGCTTCGACTGTGAAATGCACATATCCAGCAGCGGCACTTGCACTAATTACCCCCCAAGAAGGGGCATACGGTGCAAATGCCACTATTACTCTATGCAGGGCGGGGCTATTCTGTACAACGACGTGCAAAACACTTTAAATTTTGTATTCTTCGTCTTCGAGGCAACAATTGCGTGTGCTTCTATTGTAAGTTTGATAAAATTTGCGTGCTCAGGCATTGAGCCCGCTCTGCGTGGCATGTTTCGCTCAGTTCTGCCGCAACCAACAGCTTTATATCCCAGTCCTGCGTCGACTATGCCAACGGCTACACCAATAGCTTGACAGCACTCACTCTTGAAATGGAAAACTAGCTCCGGCCTGTCATGCACTGTAGCTGACCATGAGCCCTCAGCTCCTTCAAGGAATACCTCCCCCAGACATCACAGAAACACCATGCTATATTTTGCACCGGCAATGCCCACACCCCATGCCTTCGCCACATCTCGCTGGCCTTGATGTTCCGGTACCGCCAGAACTGGCGATGATGGAAGGAAAAACCTCCACTGCTGACCGGACGGTGATGTGATGGAGGTGAAAGTTTGCCGACAGATGTTGAACCAACGATGCCCCGCATGAGCAACATGCCATAACATGCCTGTACACAAGACCCCGTTGACACCATTCCATGACGACCGGCCTTCCAAATTTGCAAATCTCTCCCGTCCTGTCCGGTGCTGTTCCCGCGAATCTCTCCCGTCCAAAGAGTTGCGAATCTCTCCCGTCCAAAGATCAACTCTGCACGGAGCTCACGCAACTCGGAGACGTCTTCAAGCACATCCTTCTGGATGGGATTCTCCGGATTAGTTGCAAATGCGACATGTTGCCTGCTCACTTCTGCAGTTTGCAGATTCTTGTCTCAGCAACAGCTGATGTCGTGTGGCCTCCTCGGCACCCAGTACAACCAGGCGCGGCGTTGCTCGTCTCAAGCTTGTCGGCAACACCGCGCACGAACAGTTAGGAAACAAACCAGGGCCACAAGGAAGGAGCTCCTCGCAGACCACCGAACTGATGCACGCACACGTCCGCATCTACGTGTGCGAGCGACCGAGATCCTTCATTGAATCCGCAGCACAGGAATTGCACTCATCTTGGACTTTCACGATGTACCGGAACTCAGACCTTTGCTTGACGATTTTGTAGACAGCTATCTTGAACCAAAACAGTATGAAAGTAATTAAGTACGCATCGACTGGCTGCCAGCCAGTATGATCTTTGTGCATGAGTGAAGCTGGGGTGCAAGAGCGTGGAAGGCTGCACCGACCGAACCACTGCTCGCACCCACTTACCTCTGAATGGTAGCGGCAACCGCGAGCGTCGCGCCCCGCAATCGATCAAGTCGCTGTCAACCCTCAGCTCATTGCTGGCGCAAGCCCGAATCGCTTTGCAAGATTACGCAACAACTGCGCTCGGGGTCTGACTGAACCTCGACCTCCTCTCCTACGCTAACGTCAGTCACCTGGAGACCGCAGGTTGGAAGTCTGACATCTCACGCTTTGCAAGCTGAGGTCGCAGCTTGCAAAGAAGGGGACAGATTGAAATACAAAATCGCCAGCAATCGACCCACTGCATACAAGTCAGGCGAGCCGAAGTCCAAAGAAGCCTGCTTTGCAGCCGAGACATAGAAGCAAAAGCGCCATGAAATCCGCCTGCATTCCCCCGCACCCCAGCTTGACTGGCTGCAAAAAAAAACCTGCCAAGAAACCAATTTCAGCTTCCATGTGCCATCACACATGTCGAACCAGCTCCATGAAGGCAAATCAATATTGAAGCGATGTTGGCCTGAAGCAGTGGCAAAAGATGGCACAAATATGCTTGCAAAAATATGCTCGGGCTCACTTGTCACACCGTTTCTCTTCAGTCTTTGCCTCCGGCATTGCTGAACGAGTCGCGAGGCAGGTGTTAGAAGACATTCCAGTGCGCTACATTCGGTGAAAATGGTTTGTTAGAAGCAGGTTAGAAGATTTTTTCCCAACATGTGGAAAATCCCGAAACATTCGACAATCGGTAACTTTTCCAACATCGTTATGCCCCCAAAACCAAGGATTGGCAGAATGGTCCAATCATGGCTAACAAGCGATAGCAAAAAAACACAAACGCCCAAAAAACATCAAAACATACAAAAAAACGCGACAGTCACAGACTTTCCCCATATTTCGTAACGATCGGCAGAATGGTCCAAATATCTGCAGAAATCTACTACACGAGCAGTAGCAAGCCTAAGGTAAAGAACGTATAACAAATCGGTCGCTAGATTAGTTGGGCTTTGAGTTTTTCGGTGTGGCTGGGTATCTTTTGTCTGTTTTCTTTGCGTATGCTCCTGTACCGTTACCTACTGAAACTGCGGTATTTGTACAAGGTGGCCTGTACAAAGCCTCATGTATTGCATCCGCAAAGCCTCACAAAAATTATCGGGCTTCACATGGACCGGCTGCAAGGTTTTCGGACCAAAAAGGGGTTTTGATAAATTTCCGGCAACTCAGATGTCCAATGACACCTGCTGCTGCTTCTGCGAACATAATCCTCATAAACCACTACAGAAACCCACCACGTTCATCCCCTCAAAATGACGGGTGGAGGAGGGGCAAAAACAAACTTAAGCTGAACGGATCAAATAAAAAATTAGGACGGATCAAAAAGAAACCTAGGGATTGGAGATTTGCTGCAAACAACGGCAAGTGCTATTCCAATATCTCCGCGTCGAAACTGTGCGAAACTACGGTGTCAATCCCGGAAAAGTCTGGGACCGCGTAGAGGGTTCGAACGGTTGGTGTAACCAGAGTTGCTGGCCATGGCTGCGTGGGTCAAGCAGCTCTATTTGCCAGGATGAGATTCCAATAGTTCAGCGTCGGAATTTTGCGACGCTATATATATGGTGTCACGGCCACAAAAGGCCACAAATGCCTGGCACAGCGTGGAGGGCTTCGACGTTAACAGTTGCCGGCCATGGCTGCGTGCGCAGGTTATTCGGAACTCGCCAGCTCCGCGTCGAATATTTACATATATATATATATATATATATATATATATATATACATGTACACTTTAGAATTATATATATATACATGTTTGTACCAACTGTACCCCTTGGATAAAGATGCATTTGTCTTTTGATCGTTTTTAGTTTTCTTAATTGATCCCTTTTTCTTTTCTTCTTTAATGCCTTTACATTTTCTTGTCGATCCTTTTTCTGATCCGTCAGCTAGACAATCTCCATCCTGGTCCAAGTCTTGTGCCACGGTAGACATGCCACGAAAACAAACGGACAGCGTCATCTTGCCCAAAGGCGCGCAGCGAGGCTTCGCTGATCAGTGTCGAGAAGCCGCGAGTGGCCGCGAGCTTGCGAGGCCAAAAAGCGAGGAAGCCGACAAGGCCCAGTCATCGTACGCATGTTATCTGGAAGCCCAGAAGCCAAGAAGCGAAGAAGCCCAGAAGCCAAGAACTCGAGAAGCCAAGCTGCCCAAAGCCAAGAAGCCAAGAACCCGAGAAGCCAAGAAGCTAAGAAGCCGGCAAGGAAGCCTAGAAGCCAAGAAGCCAAGCCGCCAGGAAGCCAAGAAGCCAAGCCGCCCGGAAACCAAGAAGCCAGGAACCCAAGAAGCCAGAAAGCCAACGGAGCCCAGAAGCCAAAAAAGCCGCGGAGCCAGGCAGCACAGAAGCCAGGAGCCCAGAAGCCGAAGGCTGCCAAGCGAGGAATTAGGCACATTACCTCGTAAACGCTAAGTTTGTTTTTGATTCTTTCCAAGTTTTTTTTGATCCTTCCTAAATTTTTGTTGATCCCTTTTAATTTGTTTTTGACCCCTCTCCCCTCAAAACCTGTCTCTTGTGGCTCTGATGCCGTTTCTTTCTGACCTCAGCCCCCTGCAGTTTTGCCGGCAAGCCGTTTTCACGAACAAGCCGGCCCCACAGGGCTACATGCTTACTACGTCACTCGAAACGGTATCCGGCGACCTGTCTCCAATAGTCTTTGACTTTTTGTTTTGTTGTTGCGAGGTTCTTGCTTCTTTCGGCCAACGCCTCTCCTTCCAGAAAATATCATGTACTAGTCCGCATGCACATGATTGCTGACATGTTGTGTGTATGTTCACCTGGAGGACAGAGCTTTCTATGAAAGGTCGATTGGGGCTGTGATTCAAGAAACGTAAAGATACTCCACTTCCAAAGGCGACGCATGCCGTAGCATCACAGGCGATAAGCTAAGCAATCGAACCTCTCGGCAGTGGGCGTCGGATTCAAGTTGTAGGAGGCTTATCACAACTCGGACTTGCCAGGCGAGGTTCTCGGTTTAGGGGTTTTTTAGGGTTTAGAGCTGTGGTCAAGGCTTCTGACAACTACTGCTTTAAGCAGACAAGAGGAGCCTTCACAAAAGCCTGGTGGAAAAGGCATAGTCGTAGCCGCTTGTCACATCTTGTCACTACATGTTCAATGTTTTTCTTTTCCGCGCGCCTTCCTAACATTACATCCCCGGCTATGCTTGCCTCAGAGACTGGCATACAGATAAGCATGTGACGACAGGCGATGCAGAGACGGGACCACAGCGCAAGTTTCGGCGCTCACGCTCGGACAAGGTGCAAGGTTTGTTACATGCGGTTGATGTTTTTTTACACTGGAACCGCCAAGCGTTGACGGAGAGATGCTGCCGGACAACTTGGCTTGTTTTCTTGCTTGCTTTGTTGTTTGCTTACTTGCTTTGCTTGACCCAAACCGGAAACGGATCAAAATACTCAACTGCCCCGATCAAAGATACCGAGTCATACCGCCACCAATCAAATCTCAGCTCTGCTCTTCTGGATGACTTCTTGGAACAGATACAGATATTGAACTGAGACCGGGACCTCCTCAACCCTTGCAGTCGAAAAAAAAACACAACCACTAAAAACACCCAAAACATGCAAACTCCAAAAAGGGACATACGGTATGTCACAAACCCATGCAAAAACTCCCGGCGTTGTTCTGCATGTCTATACATGTCTCTACGGCCTGCCCTGCCAGTGCCTTTCTACGAGATTTCTCGAAACCGTCATTATTGACGCGGGATGATTTCGCCTTTGTCTTCTACTGATCTCGAACGGAATGAAAGCAGAACACAGAATTCACAGAACTGATTTGCACATCCACACCGAGCGAACTTCCTATCTTCAAACCGTCACACCCTTGGCAAAATAAACCGAGCTCTGCCCGCAACCCTTCTGCCCAGTTCTGACATGTTGCATGCATGTCTGCGCCAGCTTGCGATAAATACTCCAAAAAATGACAATAGCACGAAAGCTTCACTAGTGCAGACCCCGCGTACGTACACCACAGCTGCTAAACTTTCGACAGTCGCTACATGTCACCATTCAGCATGACCAGCGGGATTGTACGCAGACACATTTGCCTCATTTCTAGACAACGCGAGGGTACATTAAAAAGCGCACTGGGCGCTGCGGCGGGAGCTGACCAGCTCACCGTTGGTTATGTTCAACTCCAAATCGGCTGGAAACCAATTGATGATCTGCGCGCCAACCTCACTCGCAACACGTGAAGTCAAGTCCGACAAGATTTGGTAAAGCAATTGTTTAACGCAGCGGGTTCTCGCCACCCGGCAGCTGTGTGGGCATCGCGAAATTGCCAAAGGTCAGGTAATAACCGCGAAGCGATCACGAAGAACCTGCATCAAAAGTCGACGGATGTCTGCGAAAACTCTCAGCCACGGCAATGAAAACACTGTGAAATTCATCACATTCGGCAGGGATCTGGATAGTGCCCAACACTGTCAGCGAGCTGGCGGCATAGAGCAATGCCATCCCTTACATCATGTCGGCAACTCCCTGAAGCATGACGGCACAAGGCATCAAGTTATGACTTGCATGCGAGGCGCGCAAATTTGCCGAGTCCAGTAGTCCCAGTTTTTCTATAGAAGACGGCGCGATATGCAAAAAATGCCCTTTGCCAGCGAAGGCTATCCTGCTGACACAGCGGCAACATAGCAGCACCTCACAAGGTCAAATGTACGGCAAGCGTCTTCCGCAGCCTCGACGCAAACTGCAAAAAGCATGAACAAAAAAAACTTTGTTGGTAAGTGAACCCGAGTCGCTAAAACCCATGCATTGATGACAGCAACTTCTGGACTAACCTTAACTGGTGGCCATAGCAGCAGTCCTCAGCGGGTCAGAGGCAATGAATCACAAACTTAGTGCGGTCGGTCGCCCCTGCCTCCTAGCAAGATCGCCGCGCCAGCCCAAGTCCACATGGTTCACGTCGAGCAATCCAGGCGTCATCGGGCAGCGTCATCGGGGGCTTCGGCCATCCGACTCATGCGCCAAGCCAAAACGGGTCGGATGACGGCAACTACTGTTGATGATATTCGATGCGGGCTTGAGGGCAACACTTCCAACCTCGAGTCGCACATGTTGGCAGGTTTGTTCCAGAAAAAGCTAGTACATGTCGCGCGATGTTTATGATGGCTGTGGGGCAGAAATATGTGGACAACAATAAACCTCAGAGATTTGGGGATATCCCCATCGGCCAACTGTACAATCAAAATTCAAAATGTCATACACTGAAGCTCGGCCTGCTTGGATGCACGACATCTCGTCGATCCTGCCGGATGTGACGGTACCAAACATGCCGCCACAACTGCCCTGCCGCCTGCGCCGCGCCAAAGGCGCATCGCTAGCCCGCATGGCGCAATGACGGCTCAACAACCCGCCATGGTGCTGTCCCTCCACCACCGTTGACGTCTCTTGGTGCTGTTCTGCATGAAATGACGTGCGACATGGCGGGCCCTAGTCCGTGTTCTGATGCATAACATAGATGTACACATTGGATTGAACGACCTCTCTTTCTCGAAAATTTTGCGTTCACCTTCGCAACAGTAGGTGGCACACTTGCCATCGCATAAACGATCATGTACGAGTATGCGTTGGAGATGCCCTCAGGCACTGTTGGGTCTCCCCCGGGTCGCATTTTAGACCCCAAGCCCTGGGCCTAATGTCCAAACCCCAGGGTCATGCACAGGGTCATTTTAAACCTTCACGCTTTGGCCTATGATGAGGTCTCTGTTGGGGCCGTTGTGGCTCGGCATTGCTTCAGCACGTTTTAGTTCTCGTTCCCGTTGTGGCTCTTGCGTTTTTGTGTGCTAATGTCCCTTGCCGGCTTGGCTCCTCCCCGGTCCCAGTTTTCGTCTCTGGTGCTGCTTCTGTCCGTTGCGGTTCCGCTGAGGTGTGCGCTCAAGTCCGGAAACTCTCGGGTTCGTTGTTCAATTCGGTTCCAAATCGGTTTCGGATCGGATACACCCGGTTCATCCTGGTTCCTTGTGGCGGTTGGGCTGTGGTTGTGCGGTGTTGGTTTCGGTTCGGATCTTGCTGCGGTCCAACTTGAGAGCTGGTCACGAAAGCTAGAAGCACGAGGTCCGGTGCTGAGCTCTGCAAAGCGATGTGCACGACAGTAGCGGAGGGAAAGTTTGGGCCGGTGAAGGGTGCAGGCGTTGCTCGTTCATTTAACTCTTGAGAAAGTAATGTGCGAACGACAACTAGAGGTAACTCTGGAGAGAAGACCGCACTTCAGTCGCCGAACGTCAGACACAAACAAAACCAAGGGACCTTGAGGAGGGGGGGGGAGGGGGGGACCTCATGATAGGGGGGGGGGGCCCCCCCCCCTCCCTCCACCTTATCCCAGGCACAACCACCTTAAAGGAGGGGGGGGGGGCGAGGGAAGCGCACCTTATCAGTGGAAAACGCACAATGACAAGGTGAAGGGGGGGGGGGGCCCCTCCCCCCCCCCTACCCCCCACCTTAACTCTTGGACGTCCCACCTGATAAGGTGCAAACCCTGTTTTTTCCCTAGTGCCTTAATACAAGTGAATTGCTAAAGGGCAACTCCCGCGAGCTCCACAGAGCTAGCTTTCGTGATTGAGTTGCACCGCCGCCGCCCCTGCATAATGTCGCCTCCCAAATGTCCCACTTCGCCTTCAGGAGCATGGAAAGCTCATTTGCCCAATTTTCGTTTTGCGCTCGGACGCTCTTACTTTTCTTATCGATGCGACTCGGGCTGAGTTTGGTTTGGGTTGTCGGCTTTGGGTGGGTGACTCTCCCCTGTCGGTTCCGGCCAGTTCCGTTCGTTTGGGTTTTGTTCCGGCCTGGATATTGTTTTTTTTCCCACGCACCTTTGCGACTGCAAAACGAAACGTCCAGGTCCCTGTGCCACCTGCAGCCTGCACACTACTGTAGGCCTGGGGTAGGAGGGACTGCGTCGTGCAGCACGTCATGTGGGAGCTGGGCACCAGGCAGTGCACCAGCGACGTACGGCGCTCCGAGCAGCGTGGCAGCAAGTGTGCTTTGCAAAGCCACGCTCAAGAAACCCCACCAGCGGCGCAGCCAACCCTGCCTGGCCGCGGAACGCAAGGCGCTGGGCTCGGAGGCGCACGAGTTGGGTGACCACACGAAGCGACGCAGCACTCCAGCGCCCTCCGACTTCGCATGCGAGGATGTATAGGCGTTGTTGTTTTGGTCGCAGCACCTCAGGGTAAGCTGCACGCTTATGTGCCTTCCAGCGACAGTGATGGCAACACCGTCGCGAGAGTTTCCAAGATTAGCGGCCACGCCTGCCTGCGTTTCGATGGAGCTGGAGACGATGTCGAGGGCCTCGCGCGCCCGTGGTGGCGGCGTAGTGACGAGGCAAACGTCGTCGAGGAAGGCAGCAAGACATTCTTCAGGGCGCACCTGTGCGGGCAAGGCGTTGTGCTGGCCGACGAATGGTGTCGTACGCGCTGCGGCCGTCGAATGACACGATGGTTGCCGCAGGGTCGAGGTCGACAGCGGCGCGGAGCATACCCGACAGGGTGTCGGTGCCCACACGTGTCTGCAGCCCGAATTGGCACGGGCGGGTGGCCTCATCAAAGGTGTCAGCGGGACACGAGACGCCGGAAAGTGTCGCCGATGGCGATACCACGGCTTGCGGAGCGCGGTGAGGCGAGAAAGGCCCAAGGCAGCAGCTACGTCGGCAGGAACACGTGCGGCCGCGAGAAGACTAGCTGCATGGACAAGCATGGAAGAACAGCTCGGGTGCCTCCGCATCATCGAGCAGAAACTTGTAATGCTCGCAGGTGGCGCCCGGAAGCCCGGCAACGGTGCCACGCCTGGCAGTCCGCAGAAACTGAGCTTGTTTTTTTTTGGTTTCACTTAAGCTGCCTTCAGCTCGCATTTATCACGAAGCCCTGGCAACCCTCTGTGGACGTAGAGAAGAACGAATCCAAGAGTGCTTCAGGCTGAATTTCGGGTTTCTAGGTTTGCGGTTTTTGGGCTCAGGCGTTTAGGCTTCTGGGTTTGTGCGTTTCTGGGTTTGGAGATAGTTTCCGGGTTTCTGCGTTTCTGCGCGTTTCTGTGCGTTTCTATGGGTTTCGGTGTTTAGGATTTCTGGGTTTCGGTGATTTTGCATTTCGGGTTTAAATGTGTTTAGGTTTCGGTGCTCACACTCGGGCAATCCAGTGTTTAGGTTTCGGCGCCCACACTCGGACAATCCAGGCGAGGCATGTGGTTCGGAGTCAAGGAGTTTCTGGGTTTCTGCGCGTCCGGGTGATCTTGATGTAGTTTCGGTCAAGCGATTCGCACGAGCAGGCACCGCGGGACACAAATCTCACATCGATTTCGGTGCTCGTGGACCTGTACCTCAGTTTCGCGACCCCAAACCGTTTGGTCCAACGACTGGAACGAGCAGGCACCGCGGGACACAAATGTTACATCGATTTCGATGCTCGTGGACCTGTGATTGTGTGTCGCGACCCGCCAAACCGAGGATAGTGCGAAGCGGTAGCCATGCGCTTAAAACCAATTTTTTTTCCACGCGCCTTTTTCGTCCGCAGCCACTACGGCATTACGGCGGCGCCACCAGGAGCTCGCGGCGCCGTCGCTGGCGTTGCAAGGCTAGACCGGCAGCTCTGGGCGTGCGCTCGCAACGCCGCGAGCCCCGCGAGGGCCGTCCAGCGTCGCGTGAGCGCGGCCCCTGCGGCTGCCCGCGCCCACGGTGCTCGGTCCCTGGCGCGAGCCCGAGTGGCTTGGCTGTCGAAGCGCCCGCCTACCTCGAGTCCGAAGACCACCAAGCGACAACCTCCGTGCCCGCCTGGAGCTCAGGGGTACGTGCGGAGCTTGCGCGTCTTGGCTTGTTGAAGTGCCAGCGCTGGCCTCGCATCGGCCCCGGGTCGAGCGCGCCCGTCGCGCTGGACGGAGCTGACCAACGTCGTGTCTACCGCGATTTGGGCGCCGCGCCACAGCGGCAGGCCGTTTGCGACGACCTCAATCCGCCGACCGCCAGTGGCAGGGACATGCACGTTCAGGTCTCGCAAGGCGACGCTTGTGGCGACCCGGGCACCGGCTTCCCCGCAGATGCGCGCCGCCGCGCGCTTAGGCGCAGGCAGACCGGTGGTTTCCCAGGCTGTCGAGGTGGCGCCCACACTGGCATCGCTTGGGCGCGAGAGGTAGCGCCATGCGCAGCCTCCGCAGCAGCAGGACTCGGAACTCCGCGCTGGGTACAACGAAGTCCGGTCCGGTAGGGAGGACTGTGAGTGCAGAGCTGGCGCCCGCGCCGCTTTGGGACAGCAGCAGTGCTCGCGATGCAGAGTCTAACTCAGCGAAAAGCATCGCAAACACGCGCTTGTCCACAGCGGCTCCAGCGCTGCGCTGAGGTTGGGTTGTAACCACGCGGAAAACAAGCATCAGAAGCGCGCCACGATTTTTAAGGGAACCACGCAATAAAAACGTATAAACCCTGATTGACACAGTGCAGGTTGCGGGTTCTTTTCTTGCGCCTTCTCACAAGTGACTCGGCAGAGGCTAGCTGCCTCTGTTCCTTCGAACTCGTGAGAGACTGCTATTCGCAACGTCCCCCCTCGAGATGGCGGCCGATCCGAAATCCGAGCCCAGTTGTCTTTTGACCTCGGCAGCATCTGCCACCACTCAAGCCCAGTCTTCGCACTGTTGAGACCTGGCCAGGGCCGTGCTGAAAGCACAAGTATTCCGTGATCAAACGCTTAGCTTAGCTGGCCTGAAGGCGAGGACGGTGGAGCACGCTCAGCAGGCACCTGAGCATGCAGTGTCAGTCGCATATGACCTCGCCGCAGACATATGGCCAAGAGCCTTTTTCTTCACGTTGCCTAAGGTGCCGGCCATCGCAAAATCGGGAGGAGGAGAGCTTGGCATTCTTAGAGCCTGCCAGAAGCAACTTTGCGATTAAGCGATCAAATCGCCGGCGAGGCGA